CAAGCCAGCTCTGTTTCAAAGATCCTTTCTGAACAGAAGGGAAGTCTTGGAAGGTGTCTACAGCAATTTAGATATCACATTGTTACAAATTTCTAATTATGAAAAGGAGGCATGTAAAAAATATAAGCCATCCAGCTATAGTGATTTGTGAACTATTCCAAGTTGAATTGTCTTAAGGAGTTTAGAGGTGGCACTGACCCACAAACTCTTGCTGTTTAATTCAGGCCAAGTTGCATTATTCTTTTAATTCCCCATATACAGCATGTGTGTGTGTGGGCGCACGCACACACACACACACATTTATTCACTCACTTCTTTAGTCACTCAATACTCACATTCATGTAGTTACACACTCGTACTCACTTATTCACAGATACACACCTGCATTTATGCATGCCCACACATGTACACATACTCACAGACATTTATTCACATCCATACTCAGTGATGTATTCTCACACACAAACATGCATACACACACACACACACACACACACACACATACGCACACTACTCTTGCTGCTGCCAGCTCATTGGACTGAGAATACTACCAGATGGCTTCATTCACTGCCCAGTAGCTCCTTCCTCTTTCCTACTGGCTCTCTTTGGCTCTACAGAAACCACAGCAGACACTTCTGTTCACTTTTGCTCATTTTGTATTCCAGGATCTTGGCTCCACCCTGGTTTGGATGCCAACCTCTGATTTTATATGTGTCCTGCATTCTTCACTCCTGTTACATGATTTTACACTTCTTTCCTCCAAGCTTGCTCTTTCCTTTCATATAAGAAGAAATTCCCTTCTGATCTGCTCCTCTCCACTCCAGCCTTGTGACCAGGGCCTTGCCAGAAATAGCACCAACTCCTTCCTTGTGGAAACGAGAAGATTTAGGCATTACAGTCATAAGGATTATCTCATGTGGAAATGAGACAATTTGAGCTGACACTGTTCCAAGCATTCCCTGAACTCCTTTAGCCTTGATTTGAAAATTATCCCCCAAAGCCCAGACAAATCCCCACCAGCCATGTGGGACAGTAGTGCTCACTGTTAAGACATGCATTCTCTAAAGCTTACTATTCCTCTTGGGGTTTTGTTTTCTTAGCACACATTTCTACCTTCACTAACTGCCTTTAGGAACTTGGGAGCAATCCAGCTTCAAAGGGGATTTGTAAGTCCATGTGGACCTATAAATTTGGGCAGACATGGAGCTGGTCATCAGGAATGAGAAGACGCTCATCCCAGAGTTCACAGCTAATTTTGTTAAGCAATGTAGCAAGACAGGGAAAAAAGTTTTTCTGCTCCATCTTCAAAGTAGCATATGCATGAGAATGGTCTCAGAGACGCACTGATTCAGGGGCGATGTATGGTTGGTTGCATCCAGGGAATGCGTGTCTGGGATCAAGAACTCTGTTAAACACACCATTACCAAAACCACCAAGCCAAGCTCTGTGCCAGGCCTTCATACACTAAGATCATGGAGAAAAGGCTCTCACCCATATGCTTCCCACTCTGGGATGGAGTCAAACATGCACACACATGTGGGCAAGAAGATGTCTCAAGAGCATAAACAGCTGTATCTGTAATACCAGAGGAGGGAGTGCTGTATCTACCCCATACTTTGAAGGTCTGAGTTCTTTGGCTCTAGGTAGAAGCACTTCCCTACTTTCTTTAAGAATATTAAAAAAAAATTTAGATTACTCATGATTACTATCAAAATAAAAAAAAAAAGACATTGGCAAGGATAAAGAGAAATCAAACCCTCATGCACTATTGTTGATGGGAATATAAAATGGCATAGCCCTTGTGGAAGACAATATGAAGGTAGCTCAAAAATATTTAAAAGTTAATCAAAGAATTATTATATGACCCAGCAATCTCACTTCTAATTTATACCCACAAGAATTTGGAAGATATATGTGTACTTTTCATCCAAAGCAGCACATTTTTCACAGTTATCAAAAGGTAAAAATGACTCAAATGTTCTGTCTATAGAAGAATGGATGAACAAAAAATGTGGTCTGTGTATATAAGGAGATATTATGCAGCCTTAAAAAGGAAGGAAATTCTGGCACACACCACGACATGGTGTCATGCTAAGTGAAATAAGCCAGTCAGCAAAAGAACCGTGTTCTATGATTTCATTTCTATGAGATATGTGGGTTCATCAAATTCACAGTGAATGAAAATAGAATGGTGGTTGCTAGAGGCTGGGAGGAGGAGGTATGGAGGGATATCAGTGTTTCATGTACTGAGTTTTAGTTTTGTAAGGTAAGAGTTCTGGAGATGGATGGTGGTAATGGTAGTACAATGTAAATGCTTAATGTTCACTTAATGCCACTTAGAATTAATCCATTCTAATGACAACTTGCCCAGACTGCCCTGTCTGGTGCCTAAGCTGAGTCTCACTCTTGGCAACCCCTTACTAGAAGCCTGGCCAAGCTGCTCAAGCCTAAATGCAGATCCACTGGGTAGACACCAGCCAGGGCAGAAAGAACTTTCAGTCCTGCCAATGTCACCTTTTTGTTTCTCTAGGACCTCAAGCCACTCTGAGTTCCCCCTTGCAGGCACTTCCTCCTCTCTTCTGCCCAGCACTCAAATGTCTGGCATGAGGAAGATATTTCCAAGACTGGGACCCAGAAAGGCTTTGATTGGCTTTAGGCTGACATAAAACTACCTTAGAGATCCCTGGTCCACTTCCTAGAAGTCCTGCTGTTTCCCCCGTTGTCTTCTCTCTATCCTGGACCTCATATCAGCAGCAAACTCTGTATCCCACTGTTGGGGAAGATTGGTTTCCTCTTCCGTCCTACTGATACAGTAGCCACGGGCATCAGGGAGCCAGCCTTGGCTCCAAAGTCTTGCTCTTCAAGTTGCCTGTCCTTTTCTTCTCCAAGACTCAGGAGTGCGTCTGGGTAAAGCTTTCCTATTGAAACTTTCCCTGTCCCTGATTAGAGGACCACTGGGCAAGGAGATAATCAGCTTAGAGGAGAGAATTTCAGAAATAGAAATGCAAAACATTGAACCTCAGCTTGTCCATGCCCTAGCTCTGTAACTCTGCAGACTACTGGAACTCAAATGGCTTTGGTTCTCTTGTTGGTAAAGAAGGGTTAGGGGAGAAGGGATGAAAATAGACATGTATCAATATCCTGCAATTTGAGGTGAAAAGGGAGAATCTGATCAGTGGTAGCTCTGAGGGGTGTTGTTTGCAGTTCAGTAGATCTCTGATTCTTGATCACAAGTGTTATGGGGCAGATCTCCTCCTGAGAACAGAGCTGATGTTTCCCTGTACACATGGAGGGAGAATAATGGGTGACACAAGGGTCTACTAGTAAAGCTGGGCATTTCCTTGACAGATGAAGGCTTCTACACCAACGCAAATGTCAGATCACCCTAACTTGGCTCTGAGAGAAAAAGGCTGGGAATGTTTCCATTCGAGGAAAATAGTTTTACTGTGGCCATGCTGCCTGAGAACAAGTAACTGATTAATCACAACAACTTGCATAGCTTACCAATCAGGTTGTGGCTTCAGTTGGTTCCAGTGAGGGTCTGGTATACCAGCTTCAGCTGGTTGAGATTCAGCATTAAACCCTTTTAAAAAGCAATAGAAGGGGGATAAAGCATAAATGAACCCAACTCAAAACAAAGACCTAAAGGTGACTGAAGCTTCTGAAATGAGAACAAAAGGAACAAAAACAAGCTATGAGAAGTAAAAAAGAGGGAGAAAAATGGGAGTGTAGGGACAGTGGGGAGGTGGAGAATTATAGCAGAGGTTAAATGCAGAATCACTGAAAATGACTTGGTTATGTGGGTTAGGACAATGCATACATAGAGTAGTTTGGGAGCATTGGGGTTTTTTGAGGTGATTCACCATAGGACCTGGATCGCATTTAGGCACATAGCCTAGTGTAGGTGGAAGGCTGGTTGAAGTGTGGTCAGGTTTCTTAGCACAGTGTTTGAGCTGCTCCTTTGTGGAAGGGATTTCACAGTTCATGGTGGACACTAATTGAGGTGGAAGATACAGATGGGTTTGCATATATCTCTATGGAAGGTACTCCTTTGCTGCAAGTGCAGTTTCTTCCTTTTGCACTTGGTTGCTTCTTGAAGCTGCCTCCAGGGATGTAGTCTTGCAAGACCCTGACAATTACAGTCTCTGAGTAAACTACCTTGAGCAAATAATAACAAGGAAGTGCATAAAGAAGCAAGAGCTACTTGCTCACCACAATTAAAATGTAGAAGGAAAGAATGTCAAGACTTGAGGAGGGGGCAGTGTGCTGAGGAATGAATATGTTGGTCTGAAACTCATTCAGGGGGAGCTGTGAAGAGCACAGCAAAGGGCTGTGGAGTGTGGTTTTGCATTTGAGCTCACAGAGGACAAATACACTACTCAGCAGTATTCCATTTCAGATGCTCTCCATTTATCATCTGTTTTTTTTTTTTTTTGTATGTGTGATTATCTTGCAAAAAATACTTTTCTCACTTTTATTTTTCTTAGAATTAAATCCAACAAATGTTTTTGAGAGCTGACAGTTCGCCAGGAACTTTAAAGATCAAGGAGGCATGAAACAATAGTTCTGTGGCACATGCATAACTGAGAAAAAGAAATCCCTTTGCTCTGTTCAGGAACCTGTGTGAGCTGCTCATCTTGCATTCCAACTTGGCTGCCTTCTCCTTTCTTTCACGCTGCCTTCACCTGCTTTCTTTCTGCTCCTTCCCACCTGGTGGTTCTAGGACTCATTGCTCCATCTGCATTCAGATTCAAAAATACTTTCCTTCAGCCTTCCCCTGCACTCCTCATTCCCTTGCTCTCTCCATCACAATTTCAAGTTTTGTAAGGGTTTAGAGAGTCCTTATCTGGTTCTTATTTCTGCAACTCTGGACAAACAAGTCCTGAATGATGGAGAGAGTACTTGGACTTTAACTACTACAACTCTTGTTGCATTTGGAGAGTGATTGCTTTTGGCAATGAGGAGTGGTCTAGGTAGACTATGTGTATTTGTAGGAAAAGCCACTTCAGTTTCTGGTAGATGCTTAGACTACATGTATTTGTAGGTAAAGCTACTTCAGTTCCTGGATATGGTAAGACATTCCAAGCCAACAGAATCTCAGCAACCACTGGAGAAAGTTCAGGAGTAGATAAGAGCAGACTTCTAATGTAATGCCCCCTGCTCTTCTTTCCTTTACTTGTGGACTCTGAGCAAGGCATTGACTCTATGCCTTAAAGACCAAATGAGATCTGATTCTTGTTTTGGCAGGGACATGGGGGTGGAGTGAGCTTTTCAGGAGTCTTTTCTGGACACCACTTACCTGATTTGAATTGTGAAGCACCAAACTCCATGTAATATCATGTTATGCTGAAGTATTTTTCCTTGATTAGACAATTGTCTTGAATTCTTTTTCTCCTTCTACTCTCTTAGGCATAGGGTAAGGCTCTGATTTCTGGAAGAGCCAGATGATGATGAAGACTTCTGTTCTAAAGAGGGCTTGGGTCTCAGATGCCATAGACTGGAGAAGAAAGTCTGATCATGGCTTAGACTAAAGGAAGCCGAGTCTGGGACTGCAAAGAGGGAAGCTGGAGAAACTGTTGAATGTGAGATGAGCAGGCATAAGCATCTTCAAATTCAGGTCCATTTGTCTCAGTGTTTGTGACCTCACTTCTGGGAAATACAGAGGGATACTCCCTGGCATAGGCACATTGGATCCACTTTCAGCAGAAACAAGCTTTGTTTTGGATACCCTGGGTCACTCATCATCACAACAAAGGAGGTTAGCATTTTGTGACCTTTCTTCACCTCTGCACAACTCACTGGAAGCAGCTGGGTTACCTGTGCAGCCTCAGGCTCATGGCCAGTACCATGAAGGGCTGTTCTCTTCCAGCTCAAGGGACCAATGGAATGGAAGCACAAGTACAGGCAGGATGGTGGCCTTGGGCCATCCAAGTAGCAGCAGGAATGCTGAGGGGAGTGTTGCAGGCTCAGCACGACAGCCATCACACTTCTAATTTACTCAACAGCACACTGAGATCTCCTGGGATAGGGATTGGAACTGAGTGGGGACAGGAGATTTGACAGATCCTGATTGTTTAAAGTTAACCTAGTGTGTACTAATTCCATTATTATTTTGCTTTCCTTACCATTCCTTACTCTGTACAGGGATTTTTAAGCTTATGGTACTGAATCTTCAGGGGAAAGCTTATTTCCAGAGGAGTCATTCTCAAGCATGAATGATATCCAGAGTATGTGCCTTGCCACCACTACAGACTCAGGTGTGGGGAGGGAGGGAGGACCCTGGTATAAGAAAACAAGAACAAACATGGAGATCCTGAATGTGTGTTCAGGACCTGGATCTGCCCCTTGTGGCTCTGTTTCACTGCTTTAATGAGGTTTACACAGGGTTCCATGTGACCCTGATACATATCCCTTTCCCAGAGCTTTCAAAACATCTATGCTATGTTTCCACTCCATTTCAAAATGAGTAGCACTCTCTGGTCCAGATGCTGGTGATGCGAATCTAAAATTAAGGAGGGTGGCTGGTTAGACTCTACCCCATGAGTAAGACTGTCTTGAGGAGTCCTTCTCCTTTTCTATTTGAACTATTAGTAATTAACACAGGTTAAGCATAACAACTAGGAATCAAATGTTAATGAATCACATTTAAAAAATGTCTTGGCCCAAGCAGCTATACTTTTTCTAATTCCTGGGAGTGATGTCATTTTGAGTGAATGAAGGTGAAATGGTGAGGTTAGTCTCAGAGCATGGGGGTGGCAGGTGGTAAATCATTAACTTTTGCCTTATGTATTTTTCCCTACTGGGTCACTTTTTATAAAAGGTATGCTTCAGTTTGTTAAGTTAAAAGAATAAGAAAAATTGAAAGAACACAAATTTTGAAAAGAAAAAAGGGAGAAATGGAAAAATGAGGGGAAATTATGGATTATCTGTAGAAGGAGGTGAGAACAGCCATGAGAGAACCTCACTGAACATGTGTCTTCCAAGCTCTAAAACCCAGGATGCAAAGTCACATGTGTGAAGGTGCAAGGATGGTCTTGAACACTTTTGTCAAAGTTCTGGAATTCATGGCCCCCATGACCACAGAGCCACAGGCTATTTCCAACACAACTGGGAAGCCCCATCTTCTACCCATCAGTACCTCCTGAGTAGCATGGCTGAGGGCATGTGGTGACCAGGAGAGTCCTTCTGGAGTTAGGACTATTCTAATGTTATTCTAATGGCATTGGAGACAGATTCCCCCCTGTAACAGGTAAGTGGTATCACTCTTTTAATAATTGTTATGAATCTTTATTATGGGAGAAGTCTTCAGGATGCTGGAATTTACAAATGTATTCAGGGGAAAGTGTGTGTTTTTCTGATGGCTTGATCTGGGGCCAAAAATCTTGGCTAATCCTTATCCTACAGCTTTTGTTAACCACTGTTCCAGACCACCCTCCTTTTCTTGAGATAGAGGAGCCGTTTCAGAAAACTTTGATCTCACTTACCCTAGAAGATAGTGTAGTTTTTAGCAGGTATTTATTTTATTTTCAAAAGTTACTGTTCTTTCAAAATACAAGTGGAATATCTTTAAAGATTTACAGAAAACAACTTATTAAAAAGAAAAGGCACCCATCATCTCACTGTTCAGCAGTAATCACCTGTTAACTCTGGTTTTCTATGCACACAGATTTACACATTTTAGCATATTTGAGGACACAGTGATAACTAATAATTTGCTAGTCCTAATCAATAGCTGGGTCTTGCCCAGGCATTGTGAAACTTGAACTTCCATGCATGTGAGCACACTGTTTACCTTGTAGAGATAGGTAATGGGAAGGATCAAAGAGTTGAATAAATAACTCTGGCCAATGTGGATTCCCATCCAGGGCTAGTGCCATGCTCTGGACATTGTTCAGTAGCCAATTGTCACTTCTGGTTTTTTGTTTTGTTTTGTTATTTTTTTTTCTCTCAGCAACATACCAACCATTAACCTCTAAGATTGTACACTCAGAATCCTAGAAGAGTATGAAGATTTAATATTGTAGAATTTACTTCTACCCAGTTCCATGTTATAACTTGTGTATATTTAGTAGGGCATAGCCACTTTGTGATATCAAGGTGTGTTTCTCTGTGTGCCCTTGTATGTGCCCTAATTTCCAGTGAACTTGAACTGCTGAGTTCTCAGGTCAAATATTCCTCATTTCCTGTTATTGAATGCATATAAGGTGTCTCCCTAAAGCTTCGGTAGGAGTGGAGGTGAAATTACATTTAAGAGCTGCAACCTAATCATTACATTGATTATGGATTAAATTAATAATTTGAAATAATTTACTGGGCAGTAACTTTAGGCAGGTGGGATGTGGCCAGAGGAGGTTGGTCACTGAGAGTGTGCCCTTTGGGATTATACCTTGTTCCCTTGAATTTTCCTCCTCTCTTGCTGCTTCTGGGATCCACTGAGCTAAGTAACTTTCCTCTGCCATGCCCTTCAGCCTCAAAGCTCCACCTCACCTTGTGCGCAGAGGAATGGAACTGGTGAACCATGGACTGAACTTCTGAAACAGTGAGTCCAAAATAAACTTCCCTTCCTCTAAGGTGTTCTTGTCACATATTTTTGATACAGTGATAAAAAGCTGACTAAAGTAACCCTTTATAAGAAGTAAGTTATTAGTGGTACCCAAGAGCATGAGACAGGAGGGTAGAAGTCTCACCTGCACAAGGAGTACCTGATGGCTGTTACACTTACTGCTTTTCTTCCTATGGAGAAATGGCAGGAGAGTAGATTCCAGGTTTTCAATTCAGATGCTTCATGGCTATCTTGGGTGTCCCCCACAGGATAGAGATGAGTCCTTCTAGAGCTAAACCCATCAAACCTGTTGTGGTCCCTGGGATGCTTCCCAGAGTCCTATCAATGGTGGGTTCAAATGCCTAGACTTGGAGAGAGCACTGCTGGCAGTCAACTTCCAGCTCCTGTCCTCAGGGACTGCTGCAATTGCAGAACCGCTAGACCAGGGGTATACCCCTCCCAAGGGTGGTCCATATCCAATGAATGATTCAGTAAGGTTTTTGTAAGGCCTTGCTATCTCTGCCCCCTTTAGGACAACATTGACCATCCTGCCTCAGGAGCCCCATAAGGGCCAGTTGAGACTGTTACTGGGCTAGTCCTCAGTCCAACTTCTCATTGGACCTGTCCTGCTTCCTGCCCATCCTCCCACGATGTTGACGCCAGTGGTTTTCATTAATAAACATCCTGCAGGCCAAGCTCTATCTCTGAGTCTGCTTCCCAGGGAACCCAACTGTGCCAACCATCTGCCCTAAAAAAAATGTTTAAAGGCAGAGGACTCAGGAAGCCCAAATACAAGCACAAATGTTTAATTTATATACAGTCATCCCTGAGTCTCTGCTGGGGATTGGTTCTAGGACCCCTGTTGACACTGAAACCCACAGATGCTCACGCCTTCTTATATAAGATGGCATAGTGTTTGCAATAGAACCTATGCACGTCCCCCTGTACACTTTAAATAATCTCCAGATGATTTATAATTCCCAATACAATGTAAGTGCTTAGTAAATAGTTGCTATACTCTATTGGGAATTGTGACAAGAAGAAAGTGTGTACAGGGCTGGGGTTGTGGCTCAGTGGCAGAGTACTTCACTCCCTCATGTGAGGCACTGGGTTCGATCCTCAGCACCACATAAGAATGAATAAACAAAGATATTGTGTCTATGTATAACTGAAAATATTTAAAAAAAATAAAAGAAAATGTGTACATGTTCAGTATGAACAACTTTTTTCTGAATAGTTTTGATCCTCAGTTGGCTGAATCCTCTGATGTAGAATCTGCAGATATAGAGGGCTAACTGTGTTATCCACACACACACACACACACACACACACACACACACACACACACGCATACACTCATATGCAAAACATATTCAATATATAAAGTATATCTGTGCAGATGTTTAATGTATACACAAAATATTTAAGCTATGTATTTTTATATAAATATGCACACAGAAACTGGTTTATCTAATGCCCGTGAAAACAGCTGGTCCTTTCCTGTCTCTTTCTTTGCTTCCCAGACAACGTCGTGAGATGAACAAACCACTACCAGCATTCTCTCCTGCCCTGATACATTATGCAGCCACAGATCCAAAGCAATAAGGCCAAGCAACCTTGGGCTAAAACCTCCAGTATGTAAACCAAAATAAGCTTTTCCTTCTCTGTTGATTATCTCAGGTATTTTGTTACAGTAATAGAAAGCTGATTAACATAGATGTCTAGACAATACAGTGCCGTGTGTGTTACAAACAAGTATATGCTAACTGCTCTCACTCAGTACATATTGCTTGTTTCTTCCTCTTGCTAGATAATGAATATGCAGTGCCCCCAAAATGCAAAGTCATTGCCCTAGAAGGACTCACAACTGTATGGCAACCAACCTGTCAGCAGTTTAGTGGAACTGGAGACCTACCCATGCAATTGAGCACAGAGGGCCAGTAGGAAGTGCCAGGAATGCAAACAGGGAATTCTGTGTAGACAGGAATATTCGTATATTGGCCTGTTAATGTTCTCTCATATAGTAGAGTACTTCTGCTATGGAACAAAAAACACCTTTAATTGAGAAATTTTTAAACACAGGTGAACCCACCTAGAATGTCTTTTGCATGCTAGAGGGCAGGCATCAAATGGCTCTTCAGATTTTCCAACACCATTTATTACATTATTTTTGCTTTCCTTACTGATTGGCAAAGGCAGTTTAGTCATTTGTCCTGTAAATCTGGTTCTGCAGATTCTCTGCATTACAGGTCTCTGGAGTATTATTTATGTCATAGTCCACAGACTATGTAGTGACACACCATTAGGTGCAAATGAGTGGAGAAACTCAGAGAGGTTGACCATACTTGTGGGAATGTAACATGGAATGGCCACTTTGGAGAATCACTGAAAGTCTCTTAAGTTAAATGTGCACCTATTTTATCTGACTTGGTCATTCCACTCCCAAGTATTTACCCAGGAGAAAAGAAAGCACATGTGCATATAAAGACTTGTATGTCAATGTTCACAGCGGCACACTTGGGATAGCCAGAAATTGGAAACATATAGTACATATACTATGCTATATCCACACAATGAATTACTATTTGGCAATAAAAGAAATGAACCATTGATATGCACAAGTAGTTGGAAAAAAATTTAAAAACTCAAAATAATTATGCTTAGTGAAGAAAGTCGGTCCTCCCCACAAAAAAGCCATGTTCCATGTGATTCCATTAACATAAAATCTAGAAAATATGATCTAATCTACAGTGACAGAAAACATCACTACTTGCTTGAGAGGGAAGAGAAGAGGATGGGAAGAAGGATTACAGAATGGATAGAGGAAACTTCTGGAAGAGATGAATATGTTCACTATCTTGATTTTTTGGTTTATTGATGTACGGATATTAGCATTATCTATAGATGCAATTTATTGTATTTATATATATACAAATAAATTGTTGAGAAAGTGTCTACTCCATTGTTTCTCAGTATCTACCAGAATAAAGCTTCACAACAAAATAGGTTTTGAAATGAAATTTCAGTTTTAGATTGTATGGTAGAAATGGATTTTTAAGTTACTAAGGGAAAGCTAAAACTTTTTCAGTTAAAAATTGCTTCCTGTTTTAAGTTATGAAAAAAAATTTTTCATGTATAGCAAAAGAATATATGTGAAGTTTACATTGGTTTCCTGGGGCTGTTGTAACAGAATCACAGACTGGGTAGCTTAAGCAATTGAAACTTATTTTCCCACAGTTCTGGAGGCTGGAAGTCCAATATCAAGCTGTTTACCAGGTTGGTTCCTTCTGAGGTCTCTCTCCTTGGCTTGTAAGTGGCCACTTGCTCCCTATGTCTTTTCATATATTCTTCTCTGTACATGTCTTGGTCTCTCCACATGGTGTTCTTTATATAAGGACACTACTGTACATTCTATTGTATTATGACCTCATCTTAACTAATTACTTCTATCATGACCATGTTCCTAAATAAAGTCACACATTTAGGTACTGTGGCAGTAGGACTTCAATGTATGAATTTAGGGAGTGAGCCCAATTCAACCTATAACAAAGTTTTACTTTATATTTCCATTTCTTTCTTTTTATTTTTTAACAGGAATAATAATAATAATAAGAGCAAACCTCTGTTTTGAAACCTGAAAACCTGCCACAAGTCAGCCAGGAAGGGAGCAATGCTGCTGCTGAGTTTTTAGTTCAGCTCCTTGTGGTCTGCTTGCACTCAGGAATATATTTTCTTCCTGCCCTTCTTCTGAACTTCATTCTCTAGCCCTGGGCATGGGGGTTTTGCTCTTTTGGCTTGGACCTTAGTAACTTTGTACTGTTGGTCCTTAGCACCTGTACCTGTGCATTCTGAGGTCTGCAGGTCTCTGGAATCATTGCTGCTTTTTACTTATTATTTTTTTTTTTTACTTATTTGTTTTCATCCTTTTTCTTGTCTTATTTTCTTCCATCCCATATCAAGTTGTCCTCATGAATAAAACTTCCTAGAACCATTGTTGGAGATCCATATTCAAATTCAAATTTCTATGAAAGCTATAAACCCTTTCCACAATAAAGAAAAGAGGATATCCTACAGTAATCACAACTCCAAGACAGAATATTAGATCTTCACACTCTATAGTCATGAAAAGGGTGTACCTTTTGAGATAGAACTTTTTCTTTTACATTCTTTGCACTGGGTATGTCCTTGCATATGGGGAAGACACAATGGATCATTTGCTTTCACCTGAGGAGGAAGTTCTAGGGGCAGGCAGGCTCTCAGCCAAACTTGCTTTATAGGAACAGGGGAGAATCTCTGGTTCAGGTGCTGAGGGGTTCAGCAGGTAGGTGTATTTGAGGAGATGAATAACTGGAAGAACTATTCAAGGGCTATTCTTTTCTGCCACTGCTTTCACAGGACCCTCCTTGACAAGGCTATAAGAGTCTGGAACTGGGATCTGCTCTGCTTCCTGATGGTTAGCCCCACCACACATGGATACACACAGGAAACCTCATAACCCATGGTTGGTAATACATTCATTTTATCAATTCTTCCTTCAATAACAACCTGTTTGTCTACTCAGCATTGTCAAGTTGGACAGATGTCCTTCATTCCTGCAATTTGTTCTTCCCCCTCTAAACTGCCAACCCTCCTATTTACCCTTCTTTTCTTAATACCAACCCAATTTTCTACTTCGATATTCTTTTTAGAAAACAAAACAATCAGTAGTGCTATCACAAATGAAAGCTAACACTTAAATAAAAAATGAGCCAGCAGCAGGGTGGATGGGTAAGCATCCAGAACTTTCCTAGAATTTGCAGCCCTTTAGGAGAAGGCTTTTTGAATGAAAAGGGAAAACAATTCACGAACTTCCCCTAGAGATTGTTCTTTCAGTAACTGTCAGTTGAGAAAATGTGTATGTACTGACCTAAACCACTAGTAATTCAGAGCGAACTACCATTATGTTAATGACAACAGCAGAATCCACAAGCAGCAGAAGTCTCCATCCCTCCCATCTGCAGAGGGCCTAGTGCCTTAAGTAATTTGAAGCCTTCTTGCAACTGTGGCTTGCTGAAATTTGCAGTCCCTAGTTGGCAATGCTGGGTTCAAAAGAAAAAGCCAAGGCAATCCCTTTCCCATTGTGTGGACTTGAGCATTTTGCCTTCTAACTGGTTTGAAGTTCCCAGTCTGTGAAATGTTGTTAAGAGCCCCTGCTTACCTACCTCACAGATACCGTGTGTGTGTGTGTGTGTGTGTGTGTGTGTGTGTGTGTGTGTGTGAGAGAGAGAGAGAGAGAGAGAGTTATAGTAAATGCTATTAATAAAGGAAAAAGAAAATTAATGCAAAAATATCAATATAACCCTTCCTGTGAAATTTCAGACTCTGGGAGGGGAAGGAGAGAGATAATATGGTTGGGGGATGGAATGGAGAGGTGGCAATCAATGATGAAGGCACATTCTCAGTGACCTTATCTTTGACTCAGATGTGAGGTAGCAACTAAATTTTCTCCCCTCCTTCCTAATCACTGAGGAGCATGATCAGGCTGAGGAACATGGATTAGTAAAGAGAGGATATGTGATTTGGAGGAAACTCAGCAGTTAGGGGTCTTGGTAGGTACACTGAAGGGCTTAGAGATAATGGTGGGGGGCTGTGCCATTCTTTTCCCCACACCTGTCTGTGTCACTGAGGAAATGCACCAAGGCTGCCCTGGGGTCCTTGGAAAACTCACTAGGACTGGTCACACTTCAATAGATGGGGGGGAGAAGAAAAACAAAATGATAGGGACTGGTGGAGATGGGAGAGAGCCCTGCGTGCAAGCAGTGGGGGGAGGGGCACTACGGGAGGGAGTTTCTCACCCTTCTCCCCGCAGGGAAGGAAGGACAACAGGGTGAATCACCCTCCCTCTGTTTTCAGTTCTATTTAAATCACTTGCCCAGTGGCAAGGCTGTATTCAGTGTGTCTAGGCTTTCCTTTCATGAAAGCCCCCTCCCACTACTGGCACAGTATCCAGAACTAAATAGCTGCAGGTGAGCAGTTCTCAGTATTATATAGACTGGGACCAAAGATGACTTTATAATAATAGGAGGAGACAATCAGGCAGGCAGGGAGGACCTTATAAATAGATTATAAGGCTGCAGCGAGTTTATTTTAACTTTTAAAAAGCCCCTGAGCTTTTTTGGTCCACAATAGTGGCAATCTAACAATGTCCTGGTGCTTTATGGCAAAAAAACAAAGCAGAACAAAACAATATCCTTTCTTTCTTGATATTTGGTCTTTTTAGTTCAAAAGTCCAGAAGAAGTAAAGCCTAAACTTTCTGAGTTCCCATGTTGAGGATGGAACTCATTTTAGGAAAATTCTAAACTGAACAAAGAGTAAGGCCCTGATTAAAATGACAGCTCATTTAGTAAAAGCCAGAAAAAGTATGTTTGTTTTCCTGATGCCATCAGCAGCAAGCATTTCTTGAGCTTTTATCTGATTCAAAGAAGGGATACACTAGGGCAGGTGGGAGCAGAGGGGAATCTGGCCTCAGTAGTCCTTGAGGAAGGTAGGCTGCATAGACATAAGGATGCATTAGCAAGTGTAGCTGCAGACTGCAAGGGTCACAGGTGTCCCTGGGAATTTTTAATGGGATTTCCATTTTGGGATCAATCAAAAAGGAAGGTGGAGTTTCTTAAAACCACCCTCACTTTGCCTATATTTACGTTTTAAGTGCCTAATAGAGGATGGGAGGCTGGTGAGGTGCTTGTTTGGGGTAGGGCTCTCTGGATGAGGGTTGTCAAAGGCAACCTCATTGTACCCTAAGGTGTAGGAATCTGATGGCTCAGAGCTTTGGCTGCTCCCACATTTTCTCCTTAGCTTGTTTTTTGTGGTTATTTTGCTCACTAGGGGGACCTCATCTAGGAGGACTGATCCTGGGAAGAGAGTTATGTAGGGCTTTTTTTTTTTTTTTCCTTGAAATAGGCATCTGACAGATATTTATTTTTAACATTTCTGGAGTATGCCAGGTTCCCCTTGAGAAGCTGGGAAAGTCAAATAGCTGCTATTTCCAGAATCTGTCCACCACTGCATAAAAGTCTTAGGACCTAAGAGTCACTTTCTGGATCCCTTGAAATTGAGTGCTTGGACTTCCCATGAAGCCCCACCTTCCACTTCCCAATCCAGTTCTGTCCCAAAAGTTTCTAGAGGTTCCATGGGAAGGGGCTCTCACTCTTTGTACTCTTTCTCTCTTGCTGTCATTTGGTGCCAATTGAGACAGCTGAATTTTATCTGAGACATGTATGTGAGCGAAGAGCCCTGCAGGGTCCAAACCACCCTTTTATTGAGAACTCGCCATCTCACAAGTCTTTTTATCAGCTCAGGCATATCTCTTATCAGGACTATGGAAGAGTCATTCTATTGGAATTTTGAGATTGAAAGGCCATTTTGCAAATAGGGATGATTGTGTGGAACTTGGTGCTACCCCAATGCTAGGTATTTGGAAGTTACCCCTGTTCCTTTTTCTAATGATTTCTAGAAAGTCAAACCAAGTCCTTCTTTGGGGAAGGAGCCTAGGGCAGGCCTGCCTTGCTGAAGTCCACCCCAAGGGGACTCCCAGCCCTGCCCCACAAGGCCCCTCATCTCTCACCCGCCTTGGCATCCATAATTGTGGGCTACAGAGCTCTCTTCTCCACCAATGTTGCCTTTTAAGCCAACAAAATCAACAATGGAATACCAGCAATGGCCAGTCTTAATCTCTCCCCCTCTCCTGCTCACTTCAACTATGTCCCTCTAAGAACTTCCTCATAGCAGGAGCCCTTTGCCTCTCTCAGGTTACAGAAATCCTGTCAGGAAGTTCACCAGATGCTGGGGGAAGGGAAAACTTGGGTTACAGTCAGGACATATGCTTCCTTCTCATGAGAAGAGGAGCCAGGAAAAAAATATATATATCTGTGTCCATAGGAGCAACAAACAATTGCCAGTGGCAGAAGAGAAACTC